CTCATAAAGTATTTTTCTGAGGTCTGTCTTATCAGGTAAATTACTGTACACAGTGTATTCATTAATTTTCATTTTCATGTAGGAAAGGCTCTATGCCTTTATAAAGGACATACTTTTCCTTTGTTTAAGGGTATTTGGGCAGTTTATTCTCTGTTGTATTCTCAAGTAAACAATACATAAAAGTACAGTACAGTATTTTCTGAGGAAACACTCGTACTTATTTTTTTAACCCCATTCCCGATAACCCGGCATTTTCAAACTCTGCCACCCTTCAGTCCACATTAGGCCGAGTTTTCGAGACTCTACTGTATATGATGAATTTAAAAATTTAATTATACAGTAAAGCCAAGTTATTGCCCAATGAACCTAATGTTTGATTTAAAACAATTTAAAATAGAAAATTACAAAAATCTGATTTTCTGTATTAAATTTTCATGAAAATTAACTCGCATGTGACCTAAAACTACTTAGACAAATTAGAAATTTTATATAACTAAAGTTTAAGAATCCAGAATTTAAGATCTGAAGGGTTATGCAATTATTGGTAATTGTTTATAATATTTTTAATGAAAATTACATTATTAAATCATGAAAATACTTTCTTTAATTAGTTGAGGAAATATTTATGATGGTAATTTAAAGTAATACTATTAAATTTCTTAATTATTATACCTTATAAGTTGTTTTTAGGTAAATAAACTATAAGAGCACAAAATATTTAGAATATAATAAAAAAATGAAAAATATTTGAAATTATTTCATTTTTATTTTTAGGCTCCAATTAGAAAATCTGGAACTTGTTTTGATTTTGACAGCAGTTTAACTTCTGTTTCTGCAATAAAAAGGTATATAATTTATTTTCCTTTGAATTTAATTTTGAAACAATTTTATTCTTCAAAATAAATTTTATAGTTTAGTTATATAACATTCATAATTTTCTATGTATGTATGTCTCTTTAATTTGACATTAAGTTCGGTAGACTATCATTACAGCTTTCAGGTTAGACACTTCTTTTATTGTTTCCACATATGCATTTCAGACTTGTATAAATGTTAAGTCCTTCTACAAATTGTTAAAAAAACACAATTAGTAACATGACAAAATTCTTCGCGTGCAGGTCATATTTACTGACATAAAACTATCATACTTAAAAATTGACACATTTATAAGATACCTATGGTTCTGTCTTCTAAAACCACTGTGTATAATGGGTAACATTGGAAAGATTTTAAAATACAGCTATTAAAAACACCACAAATACATTTTCCAACATTAGTATGGAAAACCTTATATATTAATAATTTTATAATGTTTTACTTTATAACATCATATATCTTAATAAAATAACAATATAACACGATACTCACTTTTAACATTTGTTCATAAAATCTACCAAAAATGATATATAGATTCATAATTTTGTTTAAAGAAATCATTAACTTATCTGTAGTCTATATTATTCAATAATGCAGTCAATATGTTGAGAATGTTGCCAGACTTCAAAATTATTATTGTTGACAATGACTGCTGACAAAAAAATTTGTTAAAATTAAGTTAAACAAATTAATATCTGAAATATAAAATTCAATTTATATTTTGTGTGTAAAATTAAGATTAAATTATTAATTTGTTATAAANTAAATATGATTATACAAATTTGAATAAAGAAATTTTGTCAGTGTTTTGAAATGCTTTTTTTTAGTTTTGGTATTTTTTTTTATGCTGAAATATATTAGTTGGAAGCCAAATTTTAGTATAATAGTTAATATAAAAAAATCCTGCTTTGTATGTGTTAATAAGATATTTTAATCTGTTTGAACTTAATGATAATCAGTGGTGAATCCAGGAGGACTTAAAGGGGGACCAATTTAAAGATGAAAAATTTTGAAAAATAAGTACCCTTTTTTTATTAATATTTTGTGGATGATGATTGCACTAACATTGTGTTGTGGATGTCAATAAATTACATTTACCATAAAGGTTTTTAATGATGTTTTGAAATTTAAACAAATAAATTTTTTTTTGGATTCAGTGGGGAGGGAGAACTTACAGCCCTCCTGTTGTATCTGTCGATGATGATGATAGAATTTTTAAATATTTTTAAGATTAATGTTTCTACATAATCTAATATTTACTTAACTCATTCGGTTATATAAATATTTTATTGATTTATCATCAAAGATTAGATTTTCAATTGAATTAATATATTTTTTATATTACAATAATTTTTTAGAATTTTTAAAATTATTAATTTTTTTTAATTATCAGAAATACTTCTGTCAATAGAAAAATGAAAAAGAATAAATGTATATTAATAAAATAATTCAAATTATATTTGCAAATAAATTTGAATAAGTTAACATTAGTTTTCAGAATATTTTATTTAAAAAAGAAACTGTTGCCATATAAGATAAGTTGAGAAACTTCGAACTTTGTTCTTTTTTATTAAATTATATTCAGTTAACACACACACAAAAAATCCTTTGTATTGATAATTATATCAACTATTATTAATGTAGAAGCACATGTAAATAGAGAAAAAATTAGAATTGCATGATTTATTAATTACTGTTACAACACAGTTTAATACAATGCAAAACTGTCTTTAATATGTCGTCACATTAATCTGATGCAGCTTATATTTGGAAGATTAAGACAGTAAAAGCATTGGTCAGCTGCTCTAAGAGGTCCAGGATTAAGTCTGGATGGACAAACCCAGGAATTTTTCTTGGGTTCATTTTGGAAATATTAGGTCCCATACCTTGTTGCCTGGTATTCCTTTGTGAATAATTCTTTAGTAATATAAATGAACTGGGTCTAATTGTAATACAAAGGTTTTGTGAAAGTTTTTTTTATCTCCAATTGAAAAGTTTTGTATTAGCAACTTAACGTTTTCGATCTTAAACAGATAATCACCATCATCAGGTCTGAATACACAACTGAATTAGAACACGAAATTACTGGTTGCTCTTTCCAAATTATTAGTATGTCATTGATGTATCTTTTATATTAAAATGTCTGGTAGGATAGAGGATAATATTAATTGCTCTAACTGGCATATGATTAATTTGCATAAGTTGCCCAATAGCAGGCTGCCCATAGGGACTCTTTGCTTTTGTAAAAATAAGCAGTTATTATACTGAAAAAATGATGTGTAGCACATCATGTGCGTGAGCTCTAAAACATGTTAGTGGTGCTTGGAATCCCCTGCTGTTTTTAATAATATAACATGAAGAGCAAAAACATGGTTCTATTTTAACAGATGGATAAAGGGAATCAAAAACAGTAATAAAAGAGGCATTACCCATCCATTGGAAATGATGTAAGACTATGACTATCTCTATTGGGTTTTTTACAGTGTACTTGTAACACTAATAATGATTATCTAGATAATCACTAATGAGTCATTACAGGATTACAAGTACACTGTAAAAAACCCAATAGAGATAGTCAGTCTTACAGAATTTCTGTATGGGCAGCCCCCTATCAGGAGACTTACGTAAATTAATCATATGCTAGTTAGAGCAATTACTATTACCCTCTATTGTACCATACATTATTTAATAAACAAAACTTACTCTAACATCTTGTAAATACATTATTTAATAAGATACGTTGATGACCTACTAATAATTTGGAAAGAGCAACCAGACATCAATTTTTTTTTACAGCAGGTCAATAATAACCCATAATGATTAAGGTTAAAGAAAGATTAAGCAAGCAATATAGGAGGGAAATTTTTTAGATATACAATCCATCTTATAAATAGTTGCATACAAACTAACATATTTTATAAACAAAGCTACTTAACTGTATTTATCCCTGTGACATCATGCAATTCCTTTACATATAAAATAGCAGCTTTTAGTGCATTTGGTAAAAGAATGTTTACAATTGTAGCAGTAAGGAGGACACTAATAAAAACTACAATGGCTTACAACAATAGCCATGCAGCACAGATATTGAAAAACTTTAATACATAAGCTGGCTAAGCTGTTCTATATTAATCAGTCACATCCTCACTCTAATAACACTCGATCTAGTAATAACACTAATAATGATTATCTAATAGCAGATTACAACCATGCATTACATAGTATAGTAGAACCTCGATTATCCGGACTAATTGGGGATGAAGGTAGTCCGGATAAGGAAAAATTCAGATAATCAAAACAAGTACTTTAATTTGTCTTTTAATGATAATACAACATGTTTTCTTTTCGATGACATATCGGTAATATTAAAAGTAAATACTATATTTAAACTGTGGTCAAATTTTCAAGAAACAAACATTTGTATTGAATTTGGACTACTACTAAGCAACGCTAACAGACTACCTATTGTTTAAAAGGCCCTCTGGTAGCTCAAGAAGATGGATTTTATAAAATAAAAAGCAGTTGAAACTGCATTTTTATGAATAAAAATTTGACAAACTATTTATTGTTATGACGAGTAAAATTTTTTTGTCACGTTTGCGGCTTTTAAGTAATGCATATACCTTCAAAATGCAAGGCATAGGTGGTGGCCCACATTGCACATGCCTTATACCACCCTTGGTCATAGAAATGATGTAATTTGAAAATAAGTTATTTATAAATACATATATCAAGTTATATTTTTATTACGAAGCAAAATATATTTGAGTTTACGGCCACTGTGCTGGGTGAACGTTGTTGAAACAAAAAAAAGTTATGCATTCCATCACATACATAAACAGTAGCGTAATTCACCAAGTGCAAATCAGCAAATTTATAAAATTTTTATTTTGAACAATCCAGATAATCAAGGTTCTACTATATATACAGAGAAATAGCAAACAAGAAAAAACAGATATTAGCATATAAACACCTGCCTACTATTTACAAAATGCTGTGCAATGGGAAAGACAGAGACGTATGCAGAGCTCCAGGAGTTTATAAAGTACTAGTGATAGACAATAGATGCAATGGACACCTCAAATACATCAGTGCTACTAGATGCTCACTCCATAAGTGCCTACATGAACACAGATATGACATTAAGTAAAAAAGGTAACCACCACCTTTGCCATGTTTGCCTCTGAACAGAATTTAGAAGTAGACTTTGACATCGCATGTATTATCGAACAATACCACAACATAGAACATATCTGAATTCTTGAGGCACTAGAAATTCATAAATCAGTAATAAGAGGAAATAACATCAACTTTAAAGAATAACAGCCTCTATCTAAAGCATGGCAATATTTATGTGAAAAACAATTATTACTTAACAATAAACATGGATTATAAATGCAGATTATAGCCATGCATTATATTTAATTCTAAATAAAAATTTTTAAGTTTTAGCAATTTTTAAAAATCATTGCTGATATTTTGTTTTTATTTTATATCTAATACATTATGTATTTGTGTATTGGTGATTCCAAGTTTTTTAAACTAGTATGTTCTATTTCGCATTTTGATTTGATTGTGTTTTCAGACCTGAAGATGATCTATTTAAGATCAAAAACATTAGTCGCTAATAAAAAAAATTTTCAATTGGAGATAAAGGTTTTGTGGACATTTTATTTTTACGCCTTTTTGGTCTGGTTGAACACATGATGGGCATAATGAAAAAAGGTCTTTGTGCTCAGAGTAGGAAAATGAAAGACATCAGATACTATATTAATTTCTGGTAAATTTCAAATACTAATATTTCATGCAATCCTCTTCCTCACACTTCTGCACTTTCATCACTAACTTTTATTGTGAAGGATAAGTGGTTAGCATTTCAATCCTGCCTGTGTTGAGTGACACACTGCCCTCACTGCTGGCATGCTGGTCCAAGGAGTCATCTCTTATGAGATTCGGTCATCTGTAGTAGTGATATAAGTGACACAAGTTGCAGAATTTTGTATTTTAAATATTTTTGTTTGATTTTGAAGATGTTGAATCTATCTCAAAAAACATTTCTGATTGTTTTTTGACTCTAACTTTTTGTTACAATATAATGGATATTAAGTGAATATATAATGTTATATATAAGTTTTATATAAATTTAATTAAAATATACCATATTTTGACGAGTATAACTCGCTGTCGAGTATAAGACGCACCCCTATTTTGAGACAGAAAATTTAGAAAAATCTTTTTTAATGGCAGATTGCATTCTATTCGTTTTTTTATTCTAAAATGTGACAGATGCATTTTATTCATTTTTTTTTTAATTAAAAAGATGCATTTTATTCGTTTTTTATTCAAGAATATGACGGATGGGTGAATCGACACCTTTATTAAACTGAAATAATGGTCATTTCTTAATGTAAACTCAGAGGTCACGCAATGACAGTCGACAGAACATGGCGGCGATGACTCGTGTGTCGCTATTCTGATAATCTAGGTATTCTAGCCATTCGGTTGAGGGACCATGTGCTTAACGGATCACTGCACAGGTTGGCCCCTAGAGTGGACCACTACTGTA